AAGATGGATCCACAAAGAGACTTAATAACCTATAATTTTACTCGCTGAATCACTGGGCATGTTGGCACATTTGCAGTGAGCCTGAGCCCGATATGCTGCAAGGGAATGATTTCATAACGAACACGGGTGTGTGTGTGTGTGTGTTTGGAATCATATAATACCAGAGAATCCAAGTAATCCAGCGCCAAAGGAAAAAAACTGGCAGTGTTATATTAGAATTACTTGTATAGTATATTGTTTTATAGCATTTATTACAATTTATTTTTAAATGTTTATTTATTTTAGTTAGGTTCATATTTTAAGTTTCAATTTATTTTTTAGTTTTAGTATTTTATTAAGTGATTGTCTTTTTTATTAGATTGTCTTAACATTTCTATTTAGCTATAATTTTCAGTTTTAGTCATTTTAATACGTCAACATTTTTTCTTTCTTTCAGTTTTTCCATCAAATATTTATAAATTATTTCAGCTTTATTTCAATTAAAGAAAACAATTTTTAATAGTTTTAGTTTCCAACTATAAAAATCTTATATCAAAGCCAGACTTTCAAAAACAAATTAACGGGTACTTTGTGTAGTAAAGTGAAGACGTCCACAATATTGACCACAACAAAAAACAACTGTACTCATCCTATGAAAATCACCCTTAAAAAGGAAATAAAGCAACAAAGGAACAAGTAACAACAGTGGGAATAAAGTGGTGCGTGATAAAGAAAGAATGTGTCCAGGAAGGAGTGGCTTCTGGTAAAGATAGCAGACAAACTCAGAGAGGGAAGCAGGAAACGGGACAAAGGAAAATGGAAAAAGAATGAAGGAATGTAAATGACCCATTGTAGGAAAAGGGGGGGGTCCATCAGAGGAAACGTGACATTTTGAGTTCAACGTATATTATTGTGGGGGAAAAAAACAACTGTAAATTAAGCTCCTTCAATCGTAACTAAAATGCACCCATCCTACCTGGCAGAGGGGGCACAGCGGATATACATGCAGCCCACTCTGTTCCCCCTACTAGATCGAGTCAAGAACACTTCCGTGGCATCCAGTTCCCGTTGGGAATACTGGAATTCTGCCCGCTCTGTAAGGTGGAGCTTCCAGCGCCCCTCTCCTGTGGCATTCCCTCCCCCTACCGAACTCCCACCACCACCTCCCCGGGACCGGAGGCCCGACGTCCCCGTGGGTCCGGCAGGTACCGGCCCGGTCTCCAGATCAGGCAGGAGGGCATAGGTAGGCTCAGGAGGCAGGAAGGCAAGCTTGGCAGCGATACGGCTGGGGCAGGGGGGGCAACAGAACAGGCAGCACAGCTCACTCACAGAAAGGCCATTCATTGTCAGCTGCAAGAGAGATGACAGGAGATTGTGGTCAATACATATTCAACACAAACCATTTTATGGATTTTTCTACTCAAATTAATTAAGTTTCAACTGGGCTCTGTAGTATGGACATTATATTTGGAGTAATAATAGTAAATTGTATAATATATTATTATTGTTAAATGACACCACTGGCCACGTGATCTCAACATGGTGGGCGACCCTCTCAACATACAATAAAACAGCCTTCTCTAGAAGACTTATATGATCTCGTGCAAATGTACATAATTTGAATAATATTTCTCAAAAGTGCTGTTGATTTTTTTTTCTGTTTAAAACGTTTTTAAAACAAAATACTTGATAAATAACTAATTTAACATGTAATTTACGGAGTAATTATTTTATAAACAATACTATATTCAGGCTTCTTTTGAAAAAGAAAAATAAGACAGAGCTCTTTCTTTTCTTTAGATATTTCTTATGCAAATTTTTCTACCAATTCTTAAAAAGGTAAAAAGCTTCCAAAGTAAACAAATGGTTAATAAGTAATACCCAGGTAGAATTGACTCAGGCATCCAGTAAACCTATCTCCCAGCTATACCGTCCTCCCAGCTTAAAACTAATAGTCTAAAGTTACCTGTTATTTGACACTTTATAGACTACAAATATAAATAATATATATTATCGATATTGCCGGTTTAAGAGGCTCCAATAAAATATTCACCAGTGGTCACATCAGTCCCAACAGACCCGCTCATCGCTTACTCAACATTACACCTCATTTATTATTGTATAACGAACAATATATTGCTAACAAACACATTAATGTATATATTTGTCCACATACGTGTCGTTCTCTTGACCACAGCCGGATTTCTTGATATTTTCACACCTCTGTCGCTAAGTAGCTAGCTCGTAGTAAGGGGGTAGGGGGGAGTTAGCCAGCTAGCAGTCAGCTACGACTCCTCTCAGATAACAAATAAAGGCCAGGTCGCCGCCGCGGACATTTCTCATCCGAAAATAAAAAGCTGAGCCCTGCAGGAATAAAACTTGATTTCCGGTTTGTCGTTCCGAGTTGATTCCCGGCTACCGTCCTGCCATGTAATAATCTGCTGTTATAGGCTAATAGAGCTGTGTGTTTTTTCCACTCCAGTCAAAGATGTTTGTTAGCCTTCCCACTCTTCATTGCGTCTCACTCTTATAGTTTGAAGTAGGAGGCGCTATAGAGCTGGGGAGTAGTAAGTAAACTTGGATTAAAAACCTGTTGGGTTGAAGGCTAAAGTGAGTAATAAATGGCATTTTCAAACATGACATTGTATAATAGCGCAGTAGGCTTAAATGACAATTAAAATATAAACTGTTTAAAAACATACAATAATCTATATAAAAAGACAAAAAATGAACTGTTTAAAAATAATCTTCATAAAAAGACGAAATAAAATCATTTTGAAATATATTTTTTAAATACGAAGGTTTTGATTCATTTCAGATATCATAAAATGTAATATATTTTCATTTACAAATTTGTGAATTTAAATATAATTAATGAAAAGGTTGACGTTTAACCTGCTGTCAATCATAAAACCATACATACCCTGTTCTGTATTTTTACAATATATAGATAATAAAGCGAGAAAATGGAACATTTTACGCAATATCGTCCCATAAACATTTTGCTTACTTGGTTTGCATATGCTTGACAACGTATATATATATATTTATATATATATATATATATTTATTTATATTTGTCAAGCATATGCAAACTAAGCAAAATGTTTATGGGAAGATATTGCGTAAAATGTTCAATTTTCTCACTTTACTTGAAATGCAAAATTTGTATTGGCAGTATCCATTTTATATATATATATATATGTTAATTTCACATATGGGAATTGCGATAATATTATTCCTTTGAAGTAACTTAATAAAATAAATATCTGGAAGCACTGTCGGGTTGGATGTAACCAATCAGAGGGTCCGCTGAGTCGCACGTGACTCGACGACTCCACGGTGCAGAGAACATGCAGAGTGGATGATTTTCCTGCTTTTAAAATGTCTTTGCTCGTCACTGTGACTGTACCGCATCCGGAAATTACGCTGACGGGACATCGAGGGAGGAGCATCCCAGGAACTTCTGTCAGATCTGCTGGCGTAGCGATGTCAAATCTGCCTGACAGCTGATGAACACAGTCATGCAAGATACATATACCAAATACTTATATTTAAATAAAGTTTAGATGGGTATTGTATACCAAACCATTTAATTCCAAATCACACAATGCAATTATTACTGATGCAAGGCTGCGTCCCTAACTTTTCTCAACATTTTTTATTATTATTATTGCAATTGGAAAAAATGACAAGTTATGAAGTAACAGTGGGCAAACGGACATCACATGAAGTTAGAAAAGCTACACAAAATTAACTTTTCTCAACATACTTATGAAAACAATGAATCGTTTAATTATTTAAAAGCCTTCCATGCCTTTATGCGTTTAATTTAAAAATGTATAAAAATATATAAAAATGTAAGTGAATATTATGTTTTTTGTCTGCTTGTGTGGCCTGTTTTGTTCCATGTCTTAAAAAAAGGGAAAGATAATCAAGTCAGTTTACATGCAAGACTTCTGAATACCAAGGATAACAAGAGTTCACTAGTGAGAAAGGGTGGAGATGCTGTCATACCTTTATGAAGAAGAGATGATCTTTCCGGCACTTCCAGGCAGAGAACATGAACGGTTTTATATGGAACTGAAAAAAACCTTCCTTTTACTTCATTTCACTCATTTAACAAGCCTACAAAGTGCCAAGTAGAAATGAATACAACGTAATCACGTGGTAACATTAAATCTAACAGATACATGTCAACCCATTTAAATCCAGTGACTAAAAACCACATAAGGGCCCACAGATAGTAGCCAGCTGTCTGTGGTGAAACAGGCTGAGGTGGGCAGCTGCCGATGTGGCAACAATACAGATTACAGATCTTGTTTACTCATCTAATATCACAGCATGAAACAACAATCTGCTTGAAGACATGTTTTATAGTGGGAAAAGGTTCTTCAGATTTTTTTAATATTCTTCACGCTAAGAAAGAAATGGTCCAAGAACTGTTAACAGAAAGGTTCTTTGGAAACCCAAAATGGTTGCTCTATTGCACTGCTATGAAAACTTTGGGACTTTTACTTTTAAGTGTGTATCAGTGGTTATTAACCTTTTTGACTGCAAGGCCCCTTTTTATCCAAGACTATTCAAAAGTTGTCCTATCTAAGCTGATATGTACAGCTGGACTTCTGTTTTATAATATAAGCTCAGAAATGTTAGTTTAATGTTGTACGTTATTTTTAGTGTTCTTCTAACATTTTGTTTATATAACTACATTTAGATAATTTTTGGACTTATTGCACTCCTCTGGTTGAGAACTGCTTTAGATGGTCTGAGCAAATATGTGCACAAAATAAGAGAAACATAAGGCATTGTGTAAATTTAAAATAAACTTTGTGGTTTTATTGGTTTTATACTTACTCATACACATCATACAATCCTAAATTTAAAAAGAAAACTAAAAGGTATCTGGTGGTGTCTCTGGGGGACTGGGCACGCTGGTAAATTAATTCATGAATGCTGGTTAACGTACTGCCGAATACGTCTGAGCTGAAACTCACATCACCCATCCGAATGTTCTTCTGATTAACTACTGGGAGAAATATGAATCTCAACACCTTCACTAAAATCAAGGCAATTCTTCATCAGTTACATGTAAGGAATAAGTCACTTCTCTAGTTTGCTCAATAACATGCAATGTCGACGGTTAATCATTGCTAGCATAGAAGGGATAATGCACTGGCATATAGTGCCAACAGTCTGATAAGACACTGAAGGCAACGTTACAGGTGACCAACTGGCTTTCCACCCACTGGAGCTCATAGTCAAGCGCTTGACTACATTCACAGTTTTATGCCCACCACACAACAAGAATCTCACCAGGAACTGGAGTCTAGCATTCCCATACACTGACATGGCCTTCACCCATCTGTATCCCTAACACTCAAACCCTAGAAAAGGTAGGATTATCCTCCAGCAAACGGAGCAGACAGAAAGTGTGAGATCCAAACCCTCATTAAAAGGCTGTCAGGATGCCAGCTCACTGAGCCACTTACACCTGCTTTTCACAAAAGCCCTCTTGAGCTGGCAGCCCCACTGAGGATAATGCTGCAAGCACAGACGGTGCTAATTAAAGCTCAGGTTATTTCCTTAATAAAGCAGCAAGGTCATTACCAGGGCTTCAAATCGGATACATCCACCAAGTTGCTTTCAACAAGTCTTTTAAGTCAAGGGACTGTATATAAATCACGGGAAAATGTGCACATCAAAAGACATTATGAGGGAAGACTGCTGGACAACATTGAGGATAAATACGAAATGGTCATTTCAGCCCTTTTACAAAAAAAAAAAAAAAAAAAAAAGGATTCACTCAAAGGATGACAGAGAACACCACGTCGCACCTTTCTCCTTACATATGGGTAGTTAATAAACACTACGTACACACAAAACAGACGTTTTTTTTCCTGCTGATCCTTTCCTGCTATTTCTAAGATCTTAATCATTCTATTTTAGAATGGCAGCCATTTAATATTTATATTAGAGAACAGAAGAATCCTGTTCATTTGGAAAGCAGGCTCCATTCACCCATGCAATGGGACGTTGTGTTTCACATTTGTGTTGCAATGTAATGTGGCTGTAGCAAACTCTGCATTTGGCCTAATATTTGTGCGAGCATGCAACATTTATCTGTTGGGGAAGTGTGCATCTTCCACTATGACATCCTAAACACAGCGTTATTAATTGTAAATACATGTTTTTTGGAACGGAAAGGCATTGCCTAATAAACAAATTAGTAGCCGGTTCCATTAGCATCATTCATTGGTCTGCTGGTGGTTAACGAATACTTTGCTCTCGAAGCTTGGCGACTCTGATGGCAAAGGTCAAAATAGTTCATCGCTGGCGTGCATTAGCAATAACGGGCCTGGTAGGTTCAGTACAGCACCGAGGATCCTACACTAACTGCATTTTTGTTGCATTTGTGCAAAGAAACTAAAGAACGATCTTGTGCTTTGATTTTGAAAAGCCTAATCCCGTCTGACTTTACTCCACAAGGTCCTATAATTCTTATAAATGCATATGTAAATAGACAGAAATATCATTAAGGGGATTTTTTTTTTTGGACATGCTTCCAATCCTCCAGTACCAACCAACCAAATGATAATACAAAATAAATAGAATGCAATCACACAATTCAAGCTACGCACAATATATTAATATAGATCTTCTGATGCCATACACTCATTAAAACAGAAAAGGAAAGAAAAAAAAAACTCAGTCACTCGCTTATCGCAAGATTCTTGCTACACCCCACCCCCCTTCAAACCCCATCCGATAACTATTCATGCACCCAACATTAGCATGATAAGTCAATATATAAAAGAGAAATATTTTTTAAATGCACAGGCTGGGATTTGACATGTCGGGATAATTAATCAGAACAAAGAAAAAAAAAAGAACACCGTAAAATAATTTTACATGGGTAAATGTGGGAGTAGTCATTAAAATCTATATTCTTCAACCTTTTGCAATATCAGAGAAATTCCCTCTCGATATCCCACCCTACCCACCCCTTCCAATCAGACTCCTGAACCCACATCTCAGGTCTCCTATAAAAAAATAATGTTATAATAATATCCTAACAAAAGTCAATGCCAGGGTAAAAACTAAAGAGTCCACCTTCCCCCCGGTGCACATGGATGCCCACCTGACAACCAATCCCTCTTCTCCCTGGCTCTCTAGAAAAAAAGAAAAAAAAAACACACAACTTCTCTCAACATGTCACACATTCACTCACACACACCTCTACACCACCCTTCTGGGAGAGACAGGGAGATGATAGTTTAGGGACTGGCCAAGCAGGGGCTCTACCCTACAACCCCACCCACCTTATCTTACAATGAAGAAATGAACCCAGTTTAGAATGGTGTTATTCAGCGCCATGGTTCCAAAACTTGCAGGTCAAACTATTTTTGCTCGTTTAGCCGTCAATCCTCATAACTTCTGAATCTTCTCAGCTACCACGATGGGGTTCTCCTTGCGGATGCGGGCGGCAGCGGCTCCTCGGTAGTCGTAGGGACAGTCATGTTTGTCAGAATAACGGTGGATAGCACAAAACAGGTTACCGCAGCGACAGTCAAAGCCTACAAACACAAAGGTAAGTTCATTCAGTCTTTCCATCGGCCATGTATTTCAGATGGATATACATTTTAACATTGAGGTCTCAAAAGAATAGGCAGGATACCAGAAGGATCATGTGAAATGCAGCACTAACCTAAAGTATGCCATCTGACTACATAAATAAACTGACAAATGAACTAAAATCTTCTGATACATATTTTAATAAAATAAAAAAAGTGCAATTATATTGAAGTTGATCTTGGAAAATATTTATACACTACCGTTTAAAAGTTTGGGCTTGGCAAGGTTTAGTTATTTTTTTATTGCAGGTTTTGACAACCGAGTACTTAACACACATTGAAAACATAAATACAAATTATATAGTTATATACATAGTTAAGCAGGATTAATAAATAATATGAACATAAATGATTAAAACAAATAAATACAAAGCATAGTATATATATATATATATATATATATATATATATATACATAGATATATTTATATATAAAGGAAGAGGGGGAGGAAAAACTAAAGTAAAAATGGAAAGGAAAGAGAAGATTTAGGTTAAACCAGTATAAACAATTTTCCAAGCTGAATACTGTATTCCCAAGGTTAGTAAATGTGTTTGTTCCACACCAAGATAACTGAGAAAGGGGGGTCCCAAATCTTGTAAAACTTGACAGGTTTGTCTTTTAAAGCAGTAGGCTTCAAAGGGAATAAGAGCTTTAGCTATATTTATCCACTGAGTAATTGAGGGAATTTGGTCTGTTATGCAACATAAAAGCATACATTTGCGTTCACAGTGTAATAGTATTTGAAGATGGGCTCCTTGGAATTTAAAGGGGAATTTTTGACTTGTACCTAACAGACATGCTTTTGGTCCTAGCTGTAGTGAGCAGCAGAATATTTTCTCAAGCTCCTTAAGCATACCCGTCCAAAATTGGATCTTTATACAATGGGGTTGGTAAGTTTTATGTTTTTGCAAATGTCTCATACTCATCACGGTTGCATTTTATTTGATCAAGAATACAGTAAAAATCCTTATATTACATTATTATACTGTTTTATAACATTATAACAAAATACATATATATTTTTTTATAAATGTGTATATATATATATATATATATATATATATATA